GAATGGGTCGGCCCACCCCGAGTGATCCCCTCACGCCTTCTTTGCAAATGGCTGACTACTTGACACAATAAGCATCAAATAGGATTTGCCGATTGTCCATAGAGAAAAACACTTCCCGACGAAAAACCCCATATTACCTCTTTGTGTGGATTATCCGGGCCTCTCCAAAACCAACCTATATGTGGGAAGGATATGGGATGTGCGAACATATAGGTATAGTCCGCCACATTAGCTCAATTCCCACCCAGACTCACATGCTAGCACAATTATCTCACATCCCTCTCTCATTCCACACACCTTCCTAAGCCCTTGCGTCCCGTCTGGCCATCGAGCTAGACCCGCCTGGCCCTTCATTGATCTACGCCTCCCCTTGTTCACCGTTGAGCTCGCCTATGTCGTCGCAGTCGTTGGCAGTGAGATATGCTTCGTCCCGTGTTCACTGTCGAGCGTATGTTGCCGAGGCAGTGAGTTGTGCGCAAAGCACATGTTGTAGCAGGCTACAAAGATTGGCTTCCCGCCTAGATATGAAGGTCGGCGACAACACCAACTGGACGTCTGTGCATGTGGGTTGGTTGCTCATCCAACCGCCACCGGCGCTCCGCTCAGGGCTGCACCCACGGCCACTACAGATCCATTCCCTCATCATCCTCTCTGTCGTCGAGTGCCCGCCCTTGGTCTTTCTTTAGTAATAAACATGAAGATATAATTCTTGCAACGGTTTGAGATAATGTGGGAGTAATAGATGCATATATCGGTAGATGTGCTTGAGTAGAGTAGCAAGGAGACGTTGTAAGATTATGTGGGATAATTGTATTTCTTCATTAATGAACTAAAAGTTGGGAACCGCTAGTGTTGTGATGAAGTCCAAGTTGAGGGGTGGTTTAAAGTAAGTTGTCACTAAGGTTACACCGGGACACACAACGGGCTTATGTCCGCCAAACCACCCCCTAGGAGTTTCTTTGTGATGTAATATTAATGAGACAACTATCTAATGTTCGTCATGAGTGCTTTAGTTCTTTATGACTAATGTAAGATTGATGCCATGTTGCTTCTTTTACCTTAACTTTTCTAGCCTCTTCGACATCGAGCATTACCCACTCTCACTTTAAGACTACTTGCATACTTTGCTTATACACCCAAACCCCATGGGAGGGCTTCCTCTTGTTCGCCCACTCATAAGCCCAAAATTCATCTTCCTCGAAAGAGACACCATACCTACCTATCATGGCGTTGCTACGCCATTCCGAGATATATTGCCAGTCAAATATCTTTAGAGATGTTATTCCTTTTGCTTTGCATGAACATATAAAAGCTAACATCATAACATTGTTGCAAGGCCACCATTAATCATTGTTTCGTATATGTTAAGCTAGATCGTTACACATCCTGGTACACTGTCAGAGGCATTGATTAGAGTTTCTACATCATGTTTATCATTTATTCAGTTGATTTGAGTTGTGAGTAAATTCAAAGTGTATTATATATCATTCTAGTATGTTGCTCCTACATTGAGAGATCAAATAAAAGATGCACCACAGAGGTTCCACAAAAAATACGAGAGGAGTGAGAGAGGGAGCAACACTATTATCCCTTTTTAGTATTTACTTGTGCTTCAAAGTGTAACTACTGCATTTCATATAGAGAGTCTTCATTTATTTCATGTTTCATGTACTAGTTGGGGAATTTTTTGTTATTGAACTTGGCTTTGTATATTTCAATGGTGAGCTTCGTCAAATGCTCTAGGTATTCGTGAGGAATAAAGTTGGATGCACACCCACTAGTCCATTGGGATAGCTTTCATACACCTATAGATCTAGTTCATTTGTCGCATAGCAATCCCTAATCCCTGAATTTACATCGATTATAAGACCTTCTCTTTGCCTAATGATCGATCCTCGTTGATGCAAGACTTTCTTATACCTTTTGAATTCTCATAAACCCCAACTGTTATTCTCCATTCCATTTGAAAAGTCATTTGGCTAAACTCACGCTCAGGCATTGCATGAGTGTTATGTGGTGCATTGCTATCGCATGATCAAAGTAACTTGGTTTGCTTTGGATGGTCTATGATAAGATTGCCATTATACGATGAAGACCAAGTAATGCTATGTTTCCAACTTAATTTTACAATCTTTCTTAACATATGGCAATGAAAACATTGATTGAAAGCATTGACATGAAAAGCAAGAGTATGTTTATTTGCATGTTTTGATGTTATTCACTCATTATAAATTATAGACTATTGTGTAGCATTGCTATTCTTTGAGTCACACTTAACTTACATCAGACTGATCATGTTCATGTAAGGTATCATTAACAATCAAAAACTATTTTGTTATCATCTATCTTCTCGGGCAAGCAAAGATTAAGCTAGGGGATGCTAATATGTTCGAGATGCATCTATAATTTTTGCTTGTTTCATCCTATGTTTATATCATAATTGCTTAGTTTTGGCACCAATTGTTAACATTTGGACTATAATTCAATGCCAAGTGCTAGTTATTGGTTTTTTTGTACTTTTTAGAAAAAAACACTCTTTTTGGGGGACCAACTTGTTTTGGGAAAAAAGGTCATGAAGTTTCAAGACAAGATGGAGCCAAAGGCACCTCCGCCCACCTGGGGAACTATGGGCCTGACGTGGACAATTGGCGCAACCCAAAGGGGTTGCGTGGTGGGGCAGCATGGCCTCTTGGCACCGCCTTTTCACCGCCCTCTCAATGCTCCTACCTTTATATTGACCTAAAATCCATTAAAAAAATTATGGAGGGTTTTCCGTGTCGCCGCCTCTTTATTCCGAGGAAGATCCAATATGAAGGCATGTTCTTGTACTATGCCAAAGGGAGAATCCATTATCGGAGTTGTCATCATCATCCTTGTTGTTATCATGCCCATGTGTGAGTAGTCCTCCTTGGACTATGAGTCCTTAACTGTTGTTAGATAGTAATGTCTCCCTTGTTCTTAAATACAATGACCACATGAGCTGCCTTACATGGTTTTGATTTATATGATTTAATTTGTGGTGTGTTTGTTGCAGTGTGATCAATTGTTACTTCAATATCAGATCTATACATATTATATTCAATGATACTTTCAAATTCTTGGTTGCATAATGCATTGAAATATATTCTCTACGATATATTAATCTTGCACTCGTCACGTTTAGATGAACGATCTCCAAGAGGGAGTTGTGTACTTGTGTATGTCAGAACCTTCCAAGTAATCAACCACAATGATAGAAAATAAAAATACTTGCATTGTATTGTTTCCACCAGGGATATAAATATAGTTGCATATTTGCCCCGGTGATGAGCTCGGGGTAAATACAACACATTACCTACATTATGTTATCATGATTAGGGTAATACTTTATTTTACTTAATACTTTTAATATGCATGTTGGATAGCAGTCTTATTAGCTATAGATGCAGTTGGATTATGGTCTATAGATGTATAGAAGTGATACCTATATGCAATTATGCCATGTATAATCATGGCTATAAAAGCTGTGATTTAATCGATACGCAAGTGTAATTTGTTGACCATACATATGCTATGTTTTGTGGAGAGGTGTCACTAGTGAAACTAGGGATCCCAGTCCATTCACATTAATTGTTGTCCACCTCGATCACCCTTTTTATTTACTATTTACAATCTGAACCATTACTTCATTCTGATACAGTTATCACTTCCTATCATAAGTTAGGTTAATCCTTGTACTAGCAAGGCTAGTAAGACGGACAATATCATTAGTTGTGTTGGGGACCAAAACAAGTGCTATAGTTGTGTCCAGGTAGGTACCGGTCCCTCATTGTTGTTCAAGAACTTCTACTAGTTCGATAAATCATAAGATTATCCACTTGAGGAATTACTACTAGCCTACAAACCTCTGCACTTGAGAGCAAAACAACTTCCTAGACGAGAGGAAGCACTAGGCCGCCGATCATAGGCCACCGGGTCTCCTCTTGGGCTGCTCCGCCGCTCATTGTGCATCCTGTTGTGGAGGACCTCCGTGCACTTAGGCACTGAGGTCCGCTGCGCCTTGCCAGTTCCACCATCGACTGCTAGGATATCATCTCCCAGCACGCGTTGACCCGCTACTAGGGTCTGTGCCCACCAGATTTGGGAGCAACTGCGAGAGGTAGCCCCGCCGTCACCGTCGGCCACACGAGCTTCGCCCGGAAGGGTCCTCCAACAGCGGCATGTTGGGAGGGGACGAAAAAAAGGGTGACGGCGCTAGGGTTACGTGAGACGCGTCTAAGCTTGGTCGGAAAGGTACGCGGGGCAAGATGTGTTTTTCTTTTCCAATCTGATCTCCAAGATGCCGTAAATGTTGCAATGTTTAGATGAAGTATTACCTCCACGCTAGGCCCCACATATGACTAAGAAGTAACATGGCGGATTTCCGCATGCTTTCTCTCGAATGGTCTCTCTCCCTCGTTATTCCTTAGAGTTTGACTCCAAGTTAAGTGGTATGTACTTTCTACCTCTAAAGGACAATGGCCACAATGCCTGCTGTAATTCACCTCGGTAAATTATGAAAAATACATGGTGTTTTTACTCTGTTTATTCTCTCTCCCATTTTGAAATAAAATACTGTACATAGTGGTTTTACTTAAGTCATATTTTCTAAAATAAGAAAAAAGAACTATGATCAATCCAATGATATTGTTATGGTATTGTAGATGTTGATATATTTCCCCCGTAATTTTGGTCAAAATTTAGAAGGACAATTTTGTCCAAAATTAACCGCAAAAGAAAAGTTTTGGTCAAAACCTATAAAATTTCAACGGAGACAAGCCTATATTCATTTATTGTGAAATATGTGGAGACTTTACACTTCTGATGAGAAAGTTCGATCTTTAATCTCTGTATGAACATGTAATGTAAGTACAAAATTGTATATAGGGAAATTAATTATCTCGTGAAGCATTTTCACGATAAATATAATGTACAATTTCTACCTAGCAAAGTAGTATATGTAGCCTTGTAGTATCAATTAGTCACCACACCCTCCTCTTTCCGACGAGCTGCTGCACCTCCTCCCAGAGCCCGCCCCCGATGCCGGTGAGCCCGAGAACGGCGGGGCTGCAGGCGGCGACACGCCACAGCCCAGCGCGCACCTCGTCGCGCAGCTGCTCCCGCTCCCACCCGCAGAACCCGTCGAAGAAGCGGAAGTCCCGCACGCCGGCGACCCCGCGCTTAACCAGCTCCACCGCGCACCCGACGCTCTCCCGCGTGCCGTAGTGCACGCCCGGCATCACCTCCTCGAACAGCCCCGTCCGGCCCATCACGTCGCCGCCGTCGCCGTCTCCGCCCTCCCGCGGCCCCAGCAGGAAGAAGCACTCCTCCAACGGGCCGCCGAAGAAGAGCGGGCGGCCGGAGAAGGTGCCGGCGATGTCCGCCTTCTCCGCGAAGAGGGACTGCGCCTCCTTGATGGACATGAGCGACGGACGGTTCAGGATCACGCCCACGGGGCCCAGCACCCCGGCCGACAGCAGGAGAATCACGGTGCGCTCAAAGATGTGCGACCCGTCCAGCTTCCCCGTCGCGATCAGGAGGCACCCCTTCTCCGGCTCCACCAGCGGGTGCGCCCACTTGTCCGCGACCTTCACCGCCGGCGACCACGACGCCCTGAGCGCCGGGTTGAAGCTCTTCGCGTATTGCTCCTTGAGGACGAGCCGCGCCCGGAACGAGCGCCAGTCGACGGCGTTTCCGGACGGCGCTGCCCAGTCCTCGGGCTCAGACGACGACGACCGTCCGTTGTTGCTGCAGCCTGGAAGCAAGCGAAGAAACCAAAAGTGAGCAAGAACCCGGCGTACTATACGTACGGGCGGAGCTCGAGTGGCCACTCACAGGTGACAGACGACGAACTGGTGCGCCTGTGGTTGAAGAGAAGGTGAAGCCTCGGCTTCGCGATGCCGGCCGGCGACGGGAGGGCCATGCTTCTGCTTTTCGGAGCTTTTTGTGCGATCCGATCACTGGTTAGTGACAGGATGCGGGGGAGATCGCGGCTAAATAGGAGGATGGGATGGCCATGGCCGGAGCTTCCGCTCCACAGGTTTCCAGGGCCCCGATCCGAAGCGGATGTAGCTGGCTTTTGCCAGTGCCCTTTCTCTGGTGACCTGGGCCAATGGCGACGCGAGGAGTGGAGTGACACGGCGTGGCCGACGCCGACGTGTGGGTGGTCCAGCCGCCGTTTGTGGCCACGGCTTGGCGCGGGAGGGCTGGGGATAAGAAGAGGACGGCAGCGGGGCTGCGTGATGGGCGTGGTGCATGGGGTTGAGCTCAGCATCGACTAGTCGTCGACCTTGGGAGTATTCAGTATTGTTTTTGCCGAGCCTCGTGGGAGGGATGTGTGTGTGTGTGTGGCTGGCCAGCTCTGGACCAAGAGAATTTATTAAAACTATTGAAAGGAACCATTATTATTACTATTATTAGAACTATGAGAATGAACACAACAACGAAGGAGGGCTGGCAGTTATCAGCATGAACTCGATCGACAACGAAGGATCACGTAAGATGATCTGCCCACATGGTGTCTTTGATGAATATATACTCCCGTCCGTTTGTTTCATTCAATACGGACTATATACTTATGTATATCGACATAATTTAGAGTGTGGATTTACTCATTTTGCTTCATATACAGTCTGTATTAGGTCAAGTTTTCCTATCGTCCCTCATGGCTGGAACCCTTGCCGCCGCCAGGAGAGGCCAATCTTTCAGCGCCGTCCTCCGGCGGCTCCCCTCTGCCGGCGACCTCGGTCGTTGGATCCACGTGTGTGAATCGTTTTTACTTTCTCGTGGTCTAGTTTTTTTAAGTTGTTCAATGTCTTGGCTTCGGTGGAAACAACGACGGCGCTGAATACGGATTCTTCAGATCCTTCTCTCACGAGACCATCGGTCCTATGGTTGAGGATGTATTTGAAAACTAGTCTGTTCAAGCACCCACCCGCGCGTGCTTACTATTTGGTACGGTGGAAACTTCATGCGCTCATGGAACTCACGGTGGACACGAATCCAAAAGGTTGATGCCTTTTTTTCGGCGATCGTCTTGGGGTCTTGCCAATTGTCTCCCCAACACTCACAAAGAAGCTTGTCCTCGGCCGCCGTGTATGCCTTGGTCCGCTTGCTCTTGCGCTTCGGCTTCGTCCTGGCGGCTTGGTTGGCGAGCTCGCCCTCGAACAAAGGCCCCCCTTTGATGTCGCACTCGTCCTCTTCCTCCTTCCCGTAGTCCTCCAGAAACTCGTGGTCAAGTGGGAAGTCGTCTAGGTCTAGGACGACCTGATCATGCATGAAGGCCGCCTGATCTTGATCAAAGGTGGACGGCGTGAACGGCGGTCCTGGCTTTGTGTCTCGTCGGCGTCGTGGCCATCCCCGGCGGCACCGCCAACGGCCAGCGCACCACCCTCAAAGATGATGTTCTGCATGTAATTGTCGTCGTCGGAGGTCCGCATTCCGTCGAACAGGTTGCCTGCGCCCGAGAACATGTCGGCTAGCATGTGCCGCACGCGTTTCCTCGCGCCTCCGGATGATGATCCATCGGCCACCAGTGTGGCGTTGAGGTCGATGGGTGCGGGCACGGGCATGGAATGCGCCACCTACGCTCACCTTGGGCGAGCACTCCCCGGAGAGGCGGGAGGCCTGCGGGTAGACGTGGAAGCCGGGCATCGGGGTGCAAGCCGACGCGCGGGCAAGTCGAGTCGCACCATCCGAGGGAACGCGGATGAGCCGGTGCTGGCCGCGGCCACAACGGCGTTGACGAGGCCGTGCTGGCTAGGGTTTAACCATAGCATATATAGTGCCTCCCTCGTTGCCGCCATGACACGGGCGTTGGTGATCTCCTGCTGCACGGAGGCGGCCACAGCAATGGCTTCGTCCCTCGCGTCCATCGCGTGCCTCCGGCCCTTCCTCTTGGCCGATTCCCTTTCCCGTTGTTCGGGCGTCAGCGTCTTCTTCGGTTTGCGCGTGGCGGCGATCATGCGGGGGGCGCGAGGCTTGCCTTTACCGGAGGGCGCGGTCGTCATGTCGGACGAGGCGAGGGAGGCGAGGCCAGCGGCGGCGTCGAGGTCGTCGTCCATGGAGGGGGCGGGAGCGCTGATACATCTCCGTCGTATCTATAATTTTTGATTGTTTCATGCCAATATTATTCAACTTTCATATACTTTTGGCAACTGTTTATACTATTTTTGGGACTAACATATTGATCCAGTGCCCAGTGCCAGTTCCTGTCTGTTGCATATTTTATGTTTCGCAGAAACACCATATCAAACAGAGTCCAAACGGGATAAAAACGGACGGAGAATTATTTTGGAATATTTGGGAATTTCCGGAGGAAGAATCAACGCGAAACGATGTCCGTGGTGGCCACGAGACAGGGCCCCCCCCTGTCGGTGTCAAAACCGGCGGATCTCGGGTAGGGGGTCCCGAACTGTGCGTCTAAGTCTAATGGTGACAGGAGACTGGGGACACGATGTTTACCCAGGTTTGGGCCCTCTCGATGGAGGTAATACCCTACTTCCTGCTTGATTGATCTTGATTATATGAGTATTACAAGAGTTGATCTACCACGAGATCGTACAGGCTAAACCCTAAGAGCTAGCCTATGATTATGATTGTTGTTATCCTACGGACTAAACCCTCCGGTTTATATAGACTTCAGAGGGGGCTAGGGTTACATAGAATCAGTTACAGAGAAGGAGATCTAACATCCAAATCGCCAAGCTTGCCTTCCACGCAAAGGAGAGTCCCATCCGGACACGGGACGAAGTCTTCAATCTTGTATCTTCATAGTCCAACAGTCCGGCCAAAGTATATAGTCCGGCTGTCCGGATACCCCCTTATCCAGGACTTCCTCAGTAGCCCCTGAACCAGGCTTCAATGACGATGAGTCCGGCGCGCAGATTGTCTTCGGCATTGCAAGGCGGGTTCCATCTCCGAATACTCCAAAGTAAATTTCGAACACTTAAATCATGTCCGGCTCTGCAAGACAAATTTCACATAACACCGCACAGAGAACAATAGTCCAAAAATCTAATCTGCTGACAACTTTAGATAACGTGACATCATACCATGGCCGGGTTTTTATTCGAACCGTTTTCTCACAGCCAGCCACCGCACATATTGCGAGGCGGTTTCCTCGGCACGTCTTGTCGAAGCAGAGATCATGTCCCCTTATCACGGGATTCTCATTAATACGGGTACGGGTAACCCAACCGTGCCATTTAACGTGGTGCTTGGAAAATAAGCAATTTTAACAGGCAAGTGGGGAGGTGCACAGTTTTCGCCGCCTCTATAAAGACACAAGGATCCCCCATTCTTACCCACGCCTTCTTCCTCCTTTGCTCATCCATTCTCGCACTCTCGAGCCCCAGCGCACAATTTCTCACCTTCTCCGTAGGACCATTCACAGCATGTTCGGAGTGGGAGGCAAGTGGATGGCCTCCTCCGTCATGGAGGAGCACATTACCAAGCTTCGGGCGGCCGGATACCTGGCCGCAAACGTCGCACATAGGCTTCCAGCAGAGGGACAGATCACCCCCACCCCAAAGTCTCGGGAGAGAGTGGTGTTCCTATCTCATTTTGTCTGCGGACTAGGATTTCCACTTCACTTGTTCGTCCGCGGGCTCATGTTTTACTATAGGCTAGATTTTCATGATCTAGCCCCAAATTTCATCCTCAACATCTCGGCGTTCATCGTCGTGTGCGAGGCCTTCCTCCGCATCAAGCCCCACTTTGGCATGTGGCTGCAAATCTTCTGCATGAAGCCGAAGATCATGAGCGGCCAGCAGGCGGAGTGCGGAGGCGCCATGGTGGGCAGAATGCCCAACGTTACATGGCTTGACGTCTCCTTCGTGGAGACCGTGAAAGGGTGGCAATCAAGGTGGTTCTACATCACCGAGCCGCGCGACGCCAACTGGGCGGCGACCCCCAAATTCCGATCCGGAATCCCCATGCGGCTTACCTCCTGGGAAAAGAAGGGCCTGACCTGGGGCGAACCCACGGAGCTGACCGGACTGCAGAACTGCATCAAAAACATGATAGAGAAGAAGATCAAGCTCGTCAACATGGTCCAGGTCATGCTCGTCTGCCGGATCCTCCCGTGTCAAAGACGGGCATTCATTATGTGGGAGTTCGATCCGGCCGAACACCAGACGTTGCGAGAGCTCTTCGACACGATGCATAAGGACGTCTGGAAGGTGCTATTCAAGGCCGGCGAAGTTCCTCCTCCCACTTTCGAGGACCGCGGACTTAATGCCACGTGACTCGCCAATCCGATAAGTTCCCTGAACATCACAAGATGTACCTTCCCAGCATATTCGTGGGAGGATTTTAAGTCACCATGCTTTTATAAAAAAGGACTATGTGGCGACGGCGGAGCAGATCGACTATCCAGCTCCGTTGTCGGAAGATCCAGTAACCGCACTACTGACGGAGATGCTGGTTCTGGCGCCTTACAAGGTGCCGGAGAAGAAGGTCGAGAAGAAGGCCACGGGGACCAGGAAGGGTCTCCGGTGCAAGGTTGCGCCAGATGCCTCGTCCAAAGAAGACGAGGCACGCTCCTCCCACGAAGGGGAGGAGAAGAAGAGGAAGGCCACCCCATCCGGGGAGGCCGAAAGGTCCAAGGAAGCGGCCGCAGGGACCAGGAAAGGTCTCCGACGCAGGGCCGTAATAAACTCGTCGTCCGAGGACGGCAAGGCAGATTCCTCCCACGGAGACGGGGGGAAACATGAAGAAGTTCTTCCTCCCCGCATTGGGGAGGAGAAGAAAAGAAAGGTCGCCCCAGCGGGGGAGGCTAAGACACCGAAGAAGGGAAAGGCATCCTTTCCGGATCACTCCACCACGGCCACCTATAGCGAGGAGGAGTGGCTGCCCAGGGGCAAGCCCGTGGCGAAATTGTAAGTATCCACACTCTATAGTACATTAAATGCATCTTATTTTCATGGTTTGTCATAACGCCGAACATGCATATGCAGTCCGACCGGGTCCCATCTTGAGGTATCCTTTTCGGATGGGTCCTTGAGTGAATCGAAGATGAATAGCGATTCACTCCCGACGGCCACCTCCCCACGACCTGCGGACGACGCTGAGGTGTTATCCCAAAGGATACCAGAGCAGGGGGCGATAGTTCTGGAGACGCCCCAAGGCGAAATCCCAGACGCCGGGAATATGAGGGGTAAGATCCCCATGGATTATGCGGACGGGAGCCACAACAAGTCTGGCTCCCAGCCGGTTACCGCGCCGGAGCCTCCAAAGGTTCCGGATTCAAGTAGGCAGCCCCTCACTAAGGAG